TATAGGACAGGTCATCTACTCCAACCCCACTCCTGGCTCAAGCAGGAGACCCAGTAATTCTATTTGTGGCGAACACAGCCTGTCAGTGCTATCACGCCCCTAATCCAGTCTTCTCGTTCACAGGGCCTGGTGGCTCAGCAGACTAATAGCCTGTTATTAACATTCAGCTATCTGCAATTAGTGTAAGTTCGAATCTCGCCAAGGCTCAAGGTTGACTCAGCCTTCCATCCTTTCTAAGATAGGTGAAATGAGGACCCAGTTTGTGGGGGCAATAAGCTGACTTTGTATAAATATACAAAAGTATGAAGGCTATTGCTTAACGCATTGTAAGCCGCCCTGAGTCCCCAGAGAAGGGCGGCATATAAATCAAATTTAAAAAAAAAAAAAAAGAGGGACCTCTTTTCCTTCCTTACAAGGCAGGCCATTCGCTTTTTTTTTGAAATGTATCCCAATTATTTGCTGCTGGTGGCGGCACAGTGGTTAGAATGCAGTATTGCAGGCTGACTCTGCCCACTGCCAGCAGTTCGATCCTAACCGGCTCAAGGTTGACTCAAACTTCCATCCTTCCAACGTCGGTAAAATGAGGACCCAGATCGTTGGGGCTAATATGAGCTGACCATAAAAACTACTTAGAGAGAAGGCTGTAAATTATTTATTTATTTATTTATTTATTTATTTATTTATTTATTTATTTATTTATTTATTTATTTATTTGTCCAATTTATATGCCACCCTTCTCTGTAGACTCAGGGCGGCTTACAATGCATTATAGCAATAGTCTGCATACTTTTTTTTTTGTATATACCTGCTTATTAGGGCTTTCGGCCCCCCTAAGCGGTGTTGTTCTATACCAAATCGGCTAATTGCCCCCACAGTCCGGGTCCTCAATTTACCTACCTCGAAAGGAATGGAAGGCTGAGTCAACCTTGAGCCTGGTGAGATTGGAACTTGCACTAATTGCAGGCAGCTGGCAGCTAAGTGCTAGCACTTAACCGCACTTGAGTCCGCTGCACCACCGAGGCTCTTATCACTTCACAGTGCTCGTAAAGCGCTGTGAAGCGGTATATATGTCTAAGTGCCATTGCTATTTATCTCTAAATGAATGCTTCGCGCTCCATACCTGGCAACATTTCAGGGAAATCTAAATTCCAAGGCACCCTGGCTAGGGATCCTGTTTTGCACTGTTTAGCCAAAACGAGAGAGAGCAGATCCTGCACCGAAAGCCCACGATCTGGTGACTATTACGGATGAAAAATGCGGAGATTCCGGTCCATAGAATTCACAATCGCAGCCGAAACCGCTTTTGTTGCAAAAGAATACACACACACTCTCTGGAACCAGTTACCTCCTGAGATCCGGACCATCTCCACCCTATTGGCCTTCTGAAAAGCGGTGAAGACCTGGCTTTTCCGGCAGGCCTGGGGCCGTTGATCTCGCTCTTGTGATTCGGTGAGATCTGGCCACGTATGGTGTGAATGGGTTTTAATTGTTTTTAATTCTTAAATGTTTTTTATAATGATTTTAAATGCATTGTGAGCCACCGTGAGTCTTCGGAGAGGGGCGGCATACAAATTTAATAAATAAATAAATTAATAAATTTGTGACGATGGGCTGCGCTGTCAGCCAAGATGTTCAGGCCGGATCTGGTCCTTTCGTCCACCTGTCGAGTCCTTCCCAAGGTCCTGGGTTAGTTAGGCAGCTGTTGTTGTACGATGGTGTGAAAGGTAGATATGTAAGCAGGATGTAAGCCCTTTCCGAGGAAAGCTGCCTCTTGCAATTGACTGTTGTTATTGTTGTGTTTCTGGATGGCGCTCCTTTCTCTCGCCTACGTCCCCGTTAAGGCGGAGGCTTAGATTTCTCACTCCGATGTCAACACAACCCAAAGACCGAAAAACTCCAGTTTCCTAATCCATTCGCTTTGTCGATCTGGCCGGGATTTCACCCGTTGGTGCAGCTGAAACACGGTGTCAGCAGGCAAGGCTCCAAAAGGAGGTTAGCGCCCACCGCGCAAGGTTAGGATCCTTCCCCCGAAGATTAAAACCCGCGCAACTCCGTGGATGTCGCGTTCAGGATGGCCCGTTTTTCTTCATGGCTGTGATGATCTTTTTTTTTTTAATTTGATTTATATGCCACCCTTCTCCGGAGACTCAGGGCGGCTTACAAGGCGTTAAGCAGTAGCCTTCATTCTTTTGTATATTTATACAAAGTCAGCTTATTGCCCCCACAAACTGGGTCCTCAATTTACCTACCTTAGAAAGGATGGAAGGCTGAGTCAACCTTGAGCCTGGTGAGATTCGAACTTTCAGTAATTGCAGGCAGCTGATGTTACTTAACAGTGCTTTAGTCTGCTGCGCCACCAAGGCTCTATATTATTCGGTGTTCTTCTTTTTTAAAAAATATGATTTATATGCCGCCCTTCTCCGGAGACTCAGGGCGGCTTACAAGGCGTTAAGCAGTAGCCTTCATCCTTTTGTATATTTATACAAAGTCAGCTTATTGCCCCCACAAACTGGCTCCTCAATTTACCTACCTTAGAAAGGATGGAAGGCTGAGTCAACCTTGAGCCTGGTGAGATTCGAACTTTCAGTAATTGCAGACAGCTGGATGTTAATTACAATGCATTAGTCTGCTGAGCTATCCAGCTATCCAGGCTCCTGTAATCCTGAGTCCGATTACACTTCAGATAGCGCAGCGGCAACAGCCCTGCGCTCCTAAATGCCCCCCCCCCCAAAAAAAGGCCAGCGGAGATTTTTCCCCCCTCCCCCATCCTTAGAAGGCAACTTCTTTGTCATCTTGGAAGGGCCCTTCCTCTCCCTCGCAAGCGCCCCCCCCCCATCCTCTGCTTCAACTGGATGGAAAGCCCAATGAACGAGAGGGGGGGGGCAGGGAGTGTCTCCAACGACCTGATTTGGCACAAACCTAGGCTTGGGATGGGTGGGTGGGAAATGCCCCCATCCGGAGCTTTTTCAAAGGCGCAAAACCACCCGGTCTCATTTAGCGTCCCATTCTGATGCCTTGGGATCGCCTGCTCGGATCCCAGCCAGGGGCGCCTCGGAATTTAGATGTCCCTGAAATGCTTCTGGGTATGTTTTATTTATTTGTTTAAATTTCTATACTGCCCTTCTCCAATATAGGACTCAGGGCGGTGAACAGCCAAAGTAAAAACAAGACATACAAAATCTAAAAACTGTTTAAAATAATTAAATATTAGTATGTGAGCGCAATGCACTATTTAGGGATAAATACCCGTGTTTCCCCCGAAAAAAAAAACCCTATCTTATTTTTTTATTTTTTTTGAACCCTGAAATAACCTCAAAAGTCCGATTGGGCTTATTATCAGGGGATGTCTTATTTTGGGGGAAACAGGGTAGTTGGGATAAATTCCTTTAATAATACAGCCTTGGTAGTACAGTGGTCTAAAGCACCCTGTTATTAAGACCAGCTGCCTGCAATTACTGCAGGTTCGAATCTCACCAAGCTCAAGGTTTATTTATTTATTTATTTATTTATTATATTTCTATACCGCCTTTCTCCCGTAGGACTCAAGGCGGTGTACAGTCAAGAAAAGGTTGACTCAGCCTTCCATCCTTTCTAAGGTAGGTAAATTGAGGACCCAGTTTGTGGGGGCAATAAGATGACTTTGTATAAAAATATACAAAAAGGATGAAGGCTATTGCTTAACGCATTGTAAGCCGCCCTGAGTCTCCGCAGAAGAGCGGCATATAAATCAAATTAAAAAAAAAATCCAAAAAAAAAAAAACAAACCCCGAATGACCTGTCTTGTAAAGGAGAATTCCCTCCTCCTCCTTACAGATACAGATTAACAGAGTTGGAAGGGACCTTGGTAGGTCATCTAGACCGACCCCCCACCCCCGCCCAAACAGGAGACCCTACACCATTTCTGACAGATGGCAGGTCCAGCCCTCGTCTTGAGAAAGCCTCCAGGGTGGGAGGCCCTTCCCACAACTCCCGAAGACAACTTCTGTTCCATGGGTTGGATTATTCTCACGGTCAGGAGATGGGGGAAAAAAATCTTTTCCCCCTGTAAATCAGTCCTGGGTTCAAAACTCCCCCCCCAACCCCCCCCCTTCTAGGCAGCAGAGCTTTGGATCTGAGGTTAAGCCTGCTTGGCTGGTTTTGCCCTTCAAATCTGGAGAAATCGGGAAATCTGGGCAATTTGTCCGGATGCGACTTGGGGGGGGTGGAAGGCGGGATGAGTTTCCAGCAGGGCCGGATTTAGATGAAAAGAGTCCCTAGGCTATTCCACTTATGAGGCCCTTTCACCTATAGTGAAAGTGTAATTTTAATTTTGCTAACAATTTGAATGTAGGCCCCTCTTGATCTTAAGGCCCTAGGCTGAAGCCTAGTTAGCCTATAGGAAAATCCGGCCCTGGTTTCCAGGACTGGACGTCGGAAGGAATCCAAGAAGAGCGGGGAATCTTTGCAGCGGCGGGATACGATCTACTTCCAGCAGGATCGCCCAAGGGATCGAATGAAGGAATCCCCCACTAGTCAGATCCATTACTGTCCGTGGCCGAAAACGCCTTTGAAGCGATCTATTAAGGACTTTTCTAGCACGGTACTTTGGAGTCCTTCCGCGGCAGGTAAAGGCTCTTGAGATCCGTTGCCGGCTGGTTATTCTCTCTGAAGAGGAGAAACAGTTTTCCCTTCCTAAAGATGCTTTTTTTTTTTTTTCAAAAGGCAGCTGGATTTTTTGGTTTTTTTTTCTTTCCCTTTTGAGGACGTTTCGCTTCTCATCCCGAGAAGCTTCTTCCGGTTCTTGGGATGGGAAGCGAAACATCTTCACAAGGAAAAAAAATAAGAAAGTCCAGTTGCCTTTTGAAAAGGGGAAAAAAAAAACATTTTGGGGGCAACCCAGATGATGGAGAAATCTCCATAAGACATTCCCACCCTCCGTTTCTGCGGAAATAAATCATTTTCCCTCTCCCCCTCCCCCACTCTTTTTTTCCCCCTAAAATAAATCCTGGGCCACACGCGAGTGCTCTGCAAGAAAATAAACTCATTTATTGTCAAAGCATCCAACATTCCCAGGGAAACTATAAAGTTTTCATCTCTTTTTTTTTTTTTCCGAGGGGGAAAAAAAAAAGGAGGGAAGGAAAAAGTGGGGGGAAAAGAAACACGTAGCTATTCAGACTTCATTTCACTGGCACAAAATTACACTTTGTACTGTATTAAAAGAAGATTCCCTATTTACAGAACTTAAGACATTTTGCACCAAAAGTCCTTAATCTTTTTTTTTTTTCCATGTGAAACATGCACTTTCCCCGTCGGGAACATAAAATGAATTCAAGTCTTTCTGGATTTTATTACTATTATTTTTTGCAGGAAAAAAAAAAACACCACCTCATCAAATAATGCAGAAAAGCTTTGCATCCATTTTCCTTAATTTTTTTTTAAAATTTTGCTTTATATCTAAAATAAATTTTTACCCTTACATATAGTTATTACAGCTAAACCATAAGTGCTTAATAATTTAAGTAGAAACGTATGACAAATGCATCAATATGTTGCAATATATGACATTTTAAAAATGTACTTTTAAAAGTTATTTACTTTTTTTTTTTTTCTGGGAAAGTGAAAATGCGTGCATTTGAAACAAAAGGGGAGGGGACCAATCCACCCATCCGCTCTCTCTATTATCATCATTATTATTATTTGCAAAGTAAACATATACACAGGGATAAAAAAAAAAATTTCAAGAGTGGTTTTTGGATGCTCTGCTTTTATGGCCATCCACAATGCCCAAAATACATCTAAAAGCTTTCAAAACTCAGGATGACTGCAATTGGAAATGGACATGAAACCTGGGACTGTACTGGTTTACTCTGAAGAAAGCCTAATTCTGCCCCTTGCGACTGTCCTCAAAATAAACATGGACAAATCGTCCCAAAGATGTTTTTTTTTTTCCCCAAGAGGCAACTGGACTTTCTGGTTTTTTCTTTTGAAGACGTTTCGCTTCTCATCTAAGAAGCTTCTTCAGCTCTAACTGGATGGTGGAGTGAGGAACTGAAGAAGCTTCTTGGATGAGAAGTGAAACGTCTTCAAAGGAAAAAAAAAAGCAAGAAAGTCCGGTTGCCTCCTGAAAAAGCATCTTTTGGGACAACCATGACCTGGAGGACTGAGAATCTCCATTAGACATCAAAGCATGTACAAAGTTTCATTTCAAACTCTGGTGGAGGGGGGGCCCTTGGGAAAGCATAAATGCAGACTGTGGAAGTATTTTCTAGCTACTTGTTCAGCTGTGCTCCAGCAACAACTGCCAGCTGTCGAAAGGGTTACTTGTGGATTACTCACAAGTAAGTGGTTTTAGATTCTAACTCTACCAACCTCCTTATGTTTTTACTTACAGGGAGGAAAAAAAACCTTCCAAACTTGGTTCATAAGCGTACTTCTTTCTACCGTGTTTTCCCAAAAATAAGATATATCTTATATCTTTTTTGAACCCTGAAATAAGCGCTTGGCCTTATTGCCATACACTCAAAAGCCCAATTGGGCTTATTATCAGGGGGTGTCTTATTTTAGGGGAAACAGGGCAGGGGTGGGTTCTAATTTTTTTTACTACTGGTTCTGTGGGCGTGGCTTATTTTGTGGGTGTGACTTGGAGGTCATGTGACTAGGTGGGTGTGGCTAGCTGGTCAGTCATTTCTGGAAGGTCCTCACACTTACGACCAGTCCGCGCACTTAGGACTTGACTCATTTGTTTGCTTTTAACACTGATCAGCTGTAGGGCGGCCCTTTGAAGCCCCGCGGCAAGAGTTTAAACAGTTTTTTTCCCTCTAGTCATCAGCTGGGACTCAGGAGGCAGCAATAGATTGGGGGTGGGACCAAATAAAAGGTAAGAATAACGTGGGTAAGCGGGGGAGGAGAACCGGTTCGGTGACATCATATCGTCACCGCTACCGGCTCGGCCGAACCGGACCGAACCAGGAGGAACCCACCACTGAAACAGGGTACCTATTGTCTCTCCCTTTCCCCATTTATCATTGTCTCGATTTATGCAAGGAAACCAGTAGCGGGGGTCACATTCTTTGCATCAAAAGAGAAATATGCTTATTTATTTCTATAGGTTTTATGTGCATATTCCTAAAATAGCATTGGAAACCTCATCACAGCTCCCCTGCCCCAAATATCTATGGGGCTGGCTTGGTAATGTCCTACAATTTCCGTTCCGCTGGAGCAGTGCATCTAATATGAAACAAAGTCAATTTCCATGAATTTAGGGAGACCAAAATGACACCTGAATGGGGCTTTGGAAGATTTTCCACTCCATGCATTTTTTTTTTATAATCAAGGAGGCCAATAAAATGTGGCTGCAAAAGAGACCCAGACACATAGTCCCAGAATCTGCCCATCTTGTTACCGAGAAAGGAAACTCTAGACTAGGTTTGTTCCGTTGTACATCATGGTTTCTTGAAGCCATCCTTAAGTGAATTCATGGACTGTCACAAACTATCCTGCCTGAGTTTACATAAACATGTAAATGTACAATAAACCACTGTAACCAGCCACATTTCAACTTAGCCCCAAAGTTAGAAATCCCATTTCAGACAAGGCATTCTCTATGTTTTCTGTAGCACAACAAGCCAACATAGTTTTCAGATTCCGGTGTTGTATTGTATGAGCCACCCCTTGTCGCTTGCATACCGTGGTTTAGCGAGGTGCTAACTTCTGCCAATTGCAATTTAGGAACTAAAACGTAAACAAGCCAGGATTAACTTGTTGCACAAGCACAGCAAAGATTTCATTGGGCCCTCTTGGTATATGGGTATATGGCAGGGGTGAAATCCAGCAGGTTCTGACAGGTTCTGGAGAACCAGTAGCGGAAATTTTGAGTAGTTCGGAGAACCGGCAAATACCACTCTGGCTGGCCCCAGAGTGGGGTGGGAATGGAGATTTTGCAGTATCCTTCCCCTGGAGTAGGGTGGGAATGGAGATTTTGCAATATCCTTCCCCCAGGAATGCGGAGGGAATGGGGATTTTGCAGTATCCTTCCCCCTGGAGTGGGGAGGGAATGGGGATTTTGCAGTATCCTTCCCCCAGGAGTGGGGAGGGAATGGGGATTTTGCAGTATCCTTCCCCTGGCATGGGGTGGGAATGGAGATTTTGCAATATCCTTCCCCCAAGGGTGGGGTGGGAATGGAGATTTTGCAATATCCTTCCCCCAAGGGTGGGGCGGGAATGGAGATTTTGCAATATCCTTCCCCCAGAAGTGGGGAGGAAATGGAGATTTTGCAGTATCCCTCCCCCAGGAGTGGGGAGGGAATGGGGATTTTGCAGTATCCTTCCCTTGCCACGCCCACCAAGCCACGCCCACAGAACCAGTAGGGAAAAGTTTTGGATTTCACCCCTGGTGTATGGCCTGCGGCCACCCATTCATGATGGGTGCTCCAAAATGCAATTTAGAAAAAGTGACATGTCAAAAGTTTTTTTCAAACCCCCACCCCACCCCCACCCCGTCATCCCCTGGCCAGATTGAAAAAATGGATGGCGTATTCCTAAAATCAAAGACTTTTGCAACTGCTAACATGTTAAGGGGTTTTTGTTTCTCGTTCCAGAAATGCCCCGATAAGACCTCTCAGAATTAAACGATCCCACCACCACCGTCTCTTTTGCTGACATTGTATTATTATTATTATTTGTACTTATAACCGTGCTTTCTATTTATTTATTTAATTTTTACACGCCTGGGAGCATGCACATCTCCCACAAGGACCTGCAAGCGTGTCACATTCTTTGCATCACTCCACTTACACGCTGCCCTTTCCCTCCCAACTCTTTGGGCGCCTTTACCCCCAGGAGGGGGCGGGGGTCTCCATCTCCAACCTTGGCAACTTTTTAAGACTCGTGGGAGTTGCAAGTCCACAAGGCTTATTTATTATTATTATTATTATTTTATTAAATTTCTATACCGCCCTTCTCCCGAAGGACTCAGGGCGGTGTACAGCCAAAAATAAAACCATGACAGTATAAAAATTTTAAAAACAATTTAAAACTTAAAATTTTAAATTTAAAAATTTAAAAAGAGCCTTGGTAGTACAGTGGTCTAAAGCACCCTGTTATTAAGAACAGCTGCCTGCAATTACTGCAGGTTCGAATCTCGCCAAGGCTCAAGGTTGACTCAGCCTTCCATCCTTTCTAAGGTAGGTAAATTGAGGACCCAGTTTGTGGGGGGCAATAAGCTGACTTTGTATAAATATACAAAAGTATGAAGGCTATTGCTAACGCCTTGTAAGCCGCCCTGAGTCTCTGGAGAAGGGCGGCATATAAATCAATTAAAAAAAAAAACAATTAAATCAATTGGCTGAAAATTCTAATAAAACAATCCGATTAAAATAGTAAACACATTATTATTATTATTATTATTTAGGCCAGCCCTGCTTGTTGGAATAATAATGTTTTTAGGGCGCGCAGGTCGGGAATCCTGCGAATCTCTCCGGGGGCAGCTCCTTCCAGAGGGTGGGGGCTCCCCACAGAGAATGCTCTCCCCCTGGGGGTCGTCTAGCCTACGGCACCCGGAGGAGCCCCTCTCTGTGGGAGCGTACTGGTCGATGGAAGGCTATCGGTGGCAGAAGGCGGTCTCGTAGATACCCAAGTCTTAAAAGTTGCCAAGGTTGGAGACACACACACCCCTGGCTTTTTCCACCACGCATTTCAATAAACCGCGATCTCCTCCTCCCTCTGGGATCCACCTGGGTCCTTTGGTCCACGCCTTGCCAAAAAAGCACCACGCCAGCCCACGCAACCCTTGCAAAAAAAAAAAAAGAGCAAAGGCGCCAGCTGCATAAGCGAAGGGCGCGTGTGCGTGTGGGGTTTAGGATCCCGGGTGCAAGCGCAGCAGCGCCGAGTGGGTGGGTGGGTGCGTGGGGTGCGGGTGGGTTCAGTTGTGCGAGGTCATGTGCCGCGAGAGGTGGTGGCGCTCGCGGAAGGACTCGTTGCAAATGGGGCACTTGAGCTTCTCCTCCCGCCGCCTCTTCACCAGCGGCTCCAGCGCGTACTCCTTCTTGTGGTGGGAGCGCATGTGGTACACCAGGTCGGACGTCATGCGGAACGAGGCGTTGCACTTGGCGCACCAGTTCTGAGCCGGCAGGCACAGCGAGGTGAAGGAGGGAGGCAGCAGCGTCAGGGCCGAAGGCAGTTGGAGCTGGAGAGGGCCGGCCGCCGCAGCAGCGGCCGCAGCGGCCACGGCCGCCGCCGAGCTCTTGGGCCAGAAGGTGGTGGCGTAGAGGAAGGGGCTCTGCTTGGGGAGACCACCGCCTCCTCCTCCTCCTCCTCCTCCTGGCCCGACCCCTCCGCCGGCTCCTTCTCCTCCTCCTCCTCCTCCTGTTCCTCCAGGCGCACCTGCTCCGTTGCCAAGCTCTCCAGGCGCACCGGATAGCTTGAGCGGCTCCGATGCGTAAAGACGCGCGGCTCCTTCTGCGCCCGGGTGGCAGCCTCCTCCTCCTCCTCCTCCAGTTCCTCCACCTCCTCCTCCTCCTCCTTCCACCAGCGCGCTCAGCTTCTGTCCCAGCACCAGCTGCGCAGAGAAAGTGGAGCGCGCCGGCTGCGAGAAAGCGCTTTTGCGCTCCTCCGGGTTGGCCGCGCCGCCGGAGGGCTGCGAGGAGGGCACGGTGGAGAAGGCGCTTCCTCCGGAGCGGCCGCCCAGCAGCGAGGGCAGAGGGTTAGGCTTGTCCGAGGCGGAGGAGGCACCGCTTGCCGGGGATCCACGCTCTTTTTCCTCGTCCCCTCCGGCTCCGTTCTCCACGCCGCGCGTGGTTTTCTTCACCTCCACGAAGGCGCTTCTCTTGGCATCGCCGGTATCCGGGCTGGGCGGCCGGTAGAGGCGGCTGGCGTCATCCAAGCCGTAGTAACTCCCCGCCGGCCGGTATTGCTGCTGCGGGGTGCAAACCAGCTCCTCCTTGGGCGACGAAGGGATCGGTCTCTCCAAGCGCCCGCGGCCCCCCGACGAGCCTCGCTCTTCGGCCAGCGTGTCTCCTCCGGAGTATTTCCTTTTAGCTTTGGCTCCGGGGCTGGCGTGGCCGTCGAGGCTGGACGCCGGCTGCTCCCGGCTACCGGGGGGAGACCCGCTGCCGTTGCTGGGTCGCGAGTTTTCCAGCTCTCTGGCCAAATTGTGGAAGTCCGTGGACGGCTTGGTTACCCCGCCGTTGCTGTCCGGGCCGCAGTGGTAGTGGTGGCGGTGAGTGGGGGGCTGGATCTGGGGCTGACCCCCGACCTGTTTGCCGTGGAACTTGCCGGCGCCTTCGTGCTCCTTGGGGCTGCTGTTTTTGGGGTTGGGGTCCTCGGCTGGGCTGCTGTCCGCTCCGGGCAACCTCTTGGGGCAGCGGAACCGCAGGTGAGCCACGTAAGGGAATTCGAATTGGAAACGCTGGCCGCAGTCCAGGCAGGTGTGCGGAGACGAAGCTAGGGGCGAAAGAGAAAAAAGAGCCTGTTGGTCACCTGTTGAGCCGGACCGACTGACCAAGTTGCCAGGTGCACAAACCTCGAGAAGGAAGGTTGAACACCCCGCTGATGGTTCACCAATGGGAATCCAGCTAAAACTTCTGTCTGACTTTTAAAATCCATAAACTACCTGAGAAAAGACACCATTAAAGGTAAAGGTTCCCCTCGCGCATCTGTGCTAGTCGTTCCAGACTCTAGGGGGCGGTACTCATCTCTGTTACAAAGCTGAAGAGCCAGCACTGTCTGAAGACATCTCCGTGGTCATGTGGCCGGCATGACTAAACGCCAAAGGCGCGCGGAATGCTGTTCCCTTCCCACCAAAGGTGGTCCCTATTTTTCTACTTGCATTTTTTACCTGCTTTCGAACTGCTAGGTTGGCAGAAGCTGGGACAAGTAACGGGAGCTCACCCCATTACGCGGCACTAGGGATTCAAACCACTGAACCGCCAACCTTTTGATCAACAACATGGCTTAGGCCCGAGGTACTTGCAGGACCATCTCCAGCCGCTCTCCCACCGTCCTGTGCGCTCTCACAGAGTCCGCCTCCTCAGGGTGCCGTTGGCCAAACAATGTTGGCTGACGGCCTCCAGGAGGAGAGCGTTCTCTGTGGGAGCCCCGACCCTCTGGAATGGATTGCCCACCGAGCTCAGGACAGCCCCCGACCTTCTTTCCTTCCGTCGCGAGCTGAAGACGTGGCTCTTTCGTCAACTCAACTGATCCGTTTGGGGGTACACTGGTATAATTTTAAACTGTTTTTAATAGGGTTGCTGATTTTAATTTTATTTCATTGCGATTTGTATTGGAATTTGTCATTTTGTAAGCGGCCTTGAGTCCCCAGGGAGAAAGGCGGCATATAAATCGCAATAATAAATAAATAAATAAATAATAAACAAGCTCAGCATCATAGCCACTGAGCCACTATGTCCCTTCAGACACCATTAGAGTTGTGTTTTATCAGTTCTGACCTAATAGAGAGTCCAAGCCTCCTGCCATAGTGGGTTCTATTCTCCTTAACGCATCTCTTTTAGCCCCACTAAATACAAGCCTGTGCAGAAGGCAACCAAAAATTCTGGCTTGGTTCATGTAATGTAAGTCACAACCATGTTCTGAGCCATAAGATACTGGACCCAACCAGTAAACTATGACTCACAATTTACTAACCACAGTGGCCAGATTTACCAACATACACCACCGCGTACTGTGCTTTATTTCACGCAGGGTTCAGCATTTATTATATTTATATATGCCACATTTCTTTCAGGAGCTCAAGGCAGTGAACAGAATAAATAGTGCAAGCTGCTATGTTCACTGCTCATAAAGAAGAAGAAAAAGTAAGGTTATTTCTGCCTCTGAAAATATAAAAGTTCACTTTCTCCTGGGGTTCAAAATCCCATTTTGATTTGATTATTTACATCCTATCTTTATTTATTATTGTTTTTTACAAACAACTCAAGGGGTTTCAAAAGCTCATTTTTTAATTTGATTATTTACAGCATAACTTTATTATTTTTACAAATAAGGCCATGAATATATCTCCCCACAACAACAACAACAACTCTGAGAGGTGGGGTGGGGAGAGAGAAAGAGGGGGGGAAGGGGGAGGGGAGGGAGGGGGGGAGAGAGAGAGAGGGAGGGAAGGAGAGAGGGAGGGAGAGAGACAGAGAGGGACAGAGAAGGACAGAGAGAGGGAGGGAGAGGGACAGAGAGAGGGAGAGAGGGGAGAGAAAGAGGGAGGAAGAGAAAGAGGGAGTGGGAGAGAGAAAGGGGGAGGGGGAGGGAGAGAGGGAGGGAAGGAGAGAGGGAGGGAAGGAGAGGGAGGGAGAGAGACAGGGAGGGAGAGGTACAGAGACAGGGGGAGAGGGGGGAGAGAAAGGGAGGGAGAGAAAGGGAGTGGGAGAGAGAAAGGGTGAGAGGGGGAGGGGAGAGGGAGAGAGAGGGAGAGGGGAAGAGAGGGACAGAGACAGAGGGAGAGAGGGGAGAGAGAGAAAGAGAGGGAGAGAGATAGAGAGGGGGGAGTGGGAGAGAGAAAGGGTGAGAGGGAGAGATAGAGAGGGAGGGAGAGAGAGAGGGGGGAGAGGGAGGGAGAGAGGGGGAGAGAGGGACATAGACAGAGGGGGAGAGAGGGGAGAGAGAGAAAGGGAGGGAGGGAGGGAGAGAGAGGGGGAGTGGGAGAGAGAAAGGGTGAGAGAGGGAGAGATAGAGAGAGGGGGAGGGGGAGAGAGATGGATAGAAAGAGAGGGGGAGAGAGAGGGGAGAGAGAGAGAGAGAGATTGGCCCACACTGACTTTCATGGCCAAGGCAGGACTTGAACTCGTGGTCGCTTGCTTTCTAGCCTGGCGTCTTAACTACTCGATCAAACTGGCAACCCCTTTGAGGTCGGTTAACCTGGATACTGAAACCTGCAGGCAAGTTCAATGGCCGAAAAGGACTTGTGGTTCTCTCAAAGGCCCAACTTCTCACTCCCTCTCCCTGGGCCCTTCAGAACAAACTTCCACGCAGCTCTTCAGAGCGTCCCCTTTTGAGTTCAGGATGTCCATTGAAAGGGACTCCAGTCCAAAACATCTGAAAAGCACCAAGTAGCTCTGTTTCCCACGGCTGATCGGGAGGTGTTAAATTCTTCGCACTCTAGGTTGAGCTCAGCTTAGGTACCACCAACCTGTCGCTTTCATTTGAGTACCTAGTCCTAGATGCACCCACAACTCTAATAAAGAGATCGCCAGGAAGATATTTAGAGAATAAATATCCTTCGGGAGTAGGGCGGTATATAAATCAAATAAAAGTAAAGTAATAAAAGTAAAAGTAAAAGTAAAAGTAAAAGTAAAAGTAAAAGTAAAAGTAAAAGTAAAAGTAAAAGTAAAAGTAAAAGTAAAAGTAAAAGTAAAGTAAAGTAAAGTAAAGTAAAGAGAAGCAGCTCTCAGGATATTCTGGAGCAGGGGCCTCCAACCTTGGCAACTTTAAGCCTGGAGGACTTCAACTCCCAGAATTCCCCAGCCTGGGGAATTCTGGGAGTTGAAGTCCACCAGGCTTAAAGTTGCCAAGGTTGGAGGCCCCTGTTCTGGAGGGTCTCTCAAACAGCGTTTCTCAACTTCCAACAGCTTTCAGATAGGTGGACTTCAGCTCCCAGAATTCCCCAGCCAGCATGCTGCTGACTTGGTGATTCTGGGCATCTTAAAAGCTGCTAGGAGGTTAAGAAAATGCTGGCTGGGGAATTCTGGGAATTGAAGTCCACCCATCTTAAAGCTGCCGAGGTTAAGAAATATTGTGCTAGAATCGTTTGCAAGGTACTAACTGGATCAGGGGTCAGCAACCTGAGGCTCTGGAGCCGCGTGTGGCTCTTTCACCCCTCTGCTGCGGCTCCCTGTCAAAATATGCATCGCAACTGCCGATGTGCGATACCCACTGGCACGCGATGTATTGAGCTTTTCAACCCCCGGTAGGCCAACCATGGATAAATCCAAGGAAAGAAAAGTTTCAGAAGAAAACAGAACATTTAATTCAACTACATATGCTAGTTTTGTGGCCGCTCAAGAAATAGTCAGACACGGGAAGGGTTTTGTGGCTCCCGGTGTTTTCTTTTCTGTGGGAAACGGGTCCAAATGGCTCTCTCAGTGTTTAAGGTTGCAGAGGAGACCCCTGGACTAGATGAAGGATAGTTTGCCTGATGAGATAAAGGGGTGCAGTTAACCACTCCCCAGCCCCATAAAACAGGAGCAGAATAAAATTGAGATATTCCATATCAACACAGACACACAAGCTACTGTAATTTCAACCCTGGGGACCATATTCTCTCTCTCTCTCTCCCTCTCCCCCCCCCCACCCTCTCTCCACCCTCCCTCCCTCCTCTCTCTTCTCTCTCATTTCCTCTCTCCCTCCATCCCCCTCTTTCCTCTCTCCCCCCCTCTCTCCCTCCCTCCCTCCCTCTCTCTCTCTCCCTCTCTCCCTCCCTCTCTCTCTCTTTCTCTCTCATATTCTCTCTCTCTCCCTCCCTCCCTCCGTCCCTCCCCCTCCCTCTCTCTCTCCCTCCCTCTCTTTTCTCTCTCATATTCTCTCTCTCTCCCTCTCCCCCTCCCTCTCTCTCTCTTTCTCTCTCTCTCTTTCATATTCTCTCTCCCTCTCTCTCTCCCTCCCTCTCTCTTTCTCTCTCTCTTATTCTCTCTCTCTCTCTCCCTCCCTCTCTCTCTCTTTCTCTCTCTCTCTCTTTCTCTCTCTCTTATTCTCTCTCTCTCTCTCCCTCCCTCCCTCCTCTCTCCCTCTCTCTCTCCCTCCCTCTCTCTCTCTTTCTCTCTCTCTCTCTCTCTGTCTGTCTCCTTTTTTTTCCATAGCACATGCATTATATTTATCAATTGTTGAAGACCCAGTAATAGAGTCCCTTGGGAGTTGGGCGGCATAGAAATGCGATAAATTTAATTAAATTAAATTAAACTTCTCTTTTGTGCTAAACTTGTCAAGTGTCAGTCCTGGCTTGTGGTGAGTGTGTTTGCGTGAACCCATCTTGGGTTATCCCAAAAGTGCTTCCCCCCCCCCCCCCAAGAGGCAACTGGACTTTCTGGGGTTTTGTTTTATTTTTTTGAAGACGTTTTGCTTCTCATCCAAGAAGCTTCTTCAGCATCTCTGGTTAATTTCTTGATTCGATAGAACATGTCACACCAGAAAGTAGGCTAATTGGGAATTATTTGTCAAAGCAGCCCTGGCAGCAAACAACACCAAACGGGGCGGTTTCGGGGTTGTTTAAAACTCATCTTAAATTTTAAAAAAATTAAAAAGAGAGAGAGAGAGATAGAAGGAGAGAGGGAGGGAGGGAAAGAGAGAGACAGAGAGAGATAGACAGAGGGAGAGCGACAAGACACACACAGAGAGAGAGACAGAGAGAGAGACATACACACAGAGAGAAAGAGAGCAATAGACAGAGAGGGAGATAAACATAAATAATGTTGTGGATTATAGTAATGAAGCATCAATGTGGGATAATCAGAATCTGGGCTATTCGGTTAACCGCCTCGCTCTAGATTGGCAAAGCTGCGGTTTCCAGAAGGAAATTGATCTCCTCCTCTCGTCTTAAATCCGCTGAGACTCCGGATCTAAAGACCACCGTCCCTCCTCACCCCCTCCTCCTCTGAGTTGTCATCCCCTACCTTTCATTTTGCTCTGGGACCTCGAGGGGCTGAGCAGCAACAGCTCGGTCAGGTCCTTCCCGTACCACACCAACAACTCCTCGTCTTTGGCAATCCTCCGCAGGGAGCGGTAAAACAACTGTCCGTTCTTGATGTAGGCCTCCAGGTTTTGCTCCTCTTTGTCCCGAGCCGACTGGACCAAGCGAAGCCACATCAGGCCTTCGGAGGAGCCGTTGGCCGCCGAGGTATCCACCTATAGTCGGAGGTCGGAGAAAGGAGAGGCGTCGGAGCTTGAATAGACTTGCAGGGGTCTCCAACCTTGGCAACTTTTAAGACTTGTGGACTTCCAACTGGAGGTCCTGGAGTTGAAGTCCACCAGGCTTAATGTTGCCAAGGTTGGAGACCCCTGTTCTGCGCATCGAGGGGGGGGGGTTTCCTGTGTTGTAAATGACCACACACAGAGAGGTTGAGGAAATTGGTGGTGTCTTTATTCCCTTACATAGTGACATTATATAGTTTGTTACTTTCAAGTTACAGCGTACTTGGTAGTACAGTGGTCTAAAGCACCCTGTTATTAAAACCAGCTGCCTGCAATTACTGCAGGTTCGAATCTCGCCAGGCTCAAGGTTGACTCAGCCTTCCATCCTTTCTAAGGTAGGTAAATTGAGGACCCAGTTTGTGGGGGCAATAAGCTGACTTTGTATAAATATACAAAAGGATGAAGGCTATTGCTTAACGCATTGTAAGCCACCCTGAGTCTCCGGAGAAGGGCAGCATATAAATCAAATTAGAAAAAAAATATATCATTGGCTCACAGAATCTTCCAGGTAACTTAAATCATAGGTTAATCATTACTGCTTTGCTTAAGCACTTCTAATATTTAGCTCTAATTAAAATCTAACACACATCCCACTTCCTCTCCTCCTGTTCCTCTTATTTACAGAGTTAGGGTCTTATCTTCTAATGCCATTTCCTGGCGCCTACATGCAAGGAACCTTCCTTATCTGAGGTTTGCCATCCAAGATAGGAAAATTCCTGCACATATGCAGACTGCAGACTCCTTACATTCCTGATGGAAACGGACTCGGGGGTTGAACGTGGGCAAGAGGATTTTAGGGTTGCCCCCCATGCTACGGGGTACCACCACAAATTTATCCTTAAAACAGGGCTTGCTCACACGTGCTAAAACCACGGCGTTAAACCCAGCCAGAAATTGTAACCTACCCAGGCTCCTACCACATTTCTCCCTGCTTGGGGAAGTTTGATTTACGCGTATTTCCTGGGGTGTCATCCCCATTGAATTGAACGGGACTTGTTTCTGAATAAATAGTCATATAGCGGCAGTCCTGTGCGAGGGGATGATTCGGAAAGGGTATAATTTACTCCTGAGTAAATCATGTTTGGAATTGGGTTCTAGATCAGGGGTCTCCAACCTTGGCAACTTGACAGTTGCCAACTTTGACAGATTTGTTGGCTGAGGAACTCTGGGAGTTGAAGTCCACAAGTCTTGAAGTTTTTTTTAAAAAAAATTACTTACTTACTTACTTACTTACTTACTTACTTACTTACTTACTTATAATTTGATTTATATGCCGCCCTTCTCCAGAGACTCAGGGCGGCTTACAATGCGTTAAGCAATAGCCTTCATACTTTTGTATATTTATACAAACTCAGCTTATTGCCCCCACAAACTAGGTCTTCAATTTACCTCCCTTAGAAAGGATGGAAGGCTGAGTCAACCTTGAGCCTGGCAAGATTCGATCTTACTTTAATTGCAGACAGCTGGTGTTAAATTACAGTGCTTAGTCTGTTGAGCTATCCAGGTTGGAGACCCCCTAGAGTAGAGAAACCGACTTGCCCAACTACTGAATGTCCACCCAGCCTGGACATCCAGGAGGGAGACGGTTGGGGGTGGGAGTAATAAAGAAAAGAAGGCAACAAGGGCTACATTTCTGCTTTATCGGGATTGTAACCGTGGCTGTGTTTTGAGCAGCCGGACTAGCCTGATCCACTGAACCCCGAAGTGACAGGGCTACAGCTCTGCCGAGTCTGGGGGTGAGGGGGTCCAATGGGATTGTTTCGTCAGGCTCCCCTAAGGAAGCGTTTGAAACCCACCCACCCCGTTTTTTCGGTGGGATGGTGGCAGGTTCCAGCAGAGGAGATCTATACAGGATGGTGGAGAGATCCTGGGACAGGAGAGGAACTAAGCCAAGCCAAGGAAGATCAACGCAGAGGGTCCGAGAGAAGCCCCCCCCCTCTCTCCCCAAAAATAAATTGGCCGGAAAAGCCCAGGCGTCGTAATTCAGAATCGCTTGTGGCTTGGAGCAGTTTTGAGCCTCTCCTTCCCGGTCCTTGGAGCTTCCCAACGACTCTTTGAGATATTTAGCGCAGCCTAGTTAAGAATCTAGAAATCCGCGCTATCAATTATTTCAACCATCAAAATTCTACCTTCTAAGTCTGAATATTTTTTGTTCCGCCACTATTGCATTTTTAATATATAATACGACTCCACTTTTTTTACTTTGCGATAGGGATAAAAAGGTTTAGGAGCCTGGATAGCTCTGCAGACAAGGCACTGTAATTTAACACCAATTAAATTAAAGTAAGTTCGAATCTTGCCAGGCTCAAGGTTGACTCAGCCTTCCATCCTTTCTAAGGTAGGTAAATCGAGGACCCAGTTTGTGGGGGCAATAAGCTGACTTTGTATAAATATACAAAAGTATGAAGGCTATTGCTTAAGGTATTGTAAGCCGCCCTGAATCCCCGGAGAAGGGCGGCATATAAATCAAATTATAAATAAATAAGTAAGTAAGTAAGTTTGTATAAAAAAAGAACACCACTTAGGGGGGCCCGAAAGCCTTACTAAGCAGGTATATATAAAAGTATGAAGGCTACTGCTTAACGCATTGTAAGCCGCCCTGAGTCTCCGGAGAAGGGCGGCATATAAATCAAATTAAAAAAAAAAAAGTTTTCCCAAGTTTTGGTTGTGTCAATAAGTATTGGGGTTGTTTTTGAATATGTACTTCTTGTAAGCAAATTATACCAGCTTTTCGTTTCTTCTAATTTGTGGAATACTTTTTTTCTTTCTCGAGAAACTCAAAGTTCCAGTAAATTTAAATTTTAAAAATGGGGGAAAGAAACCTGCTTTTTTATTCAGTTCAATTAACTGGGACGGTGGGCCTCGTCCCCGCCCCCCCTCACAAACCTTACGCCGAGCTGCCGGATCGATTCTCCGGAGCAAAGAAGAAGGAGGAAGGCCAGCGTTTGGGGACGGGGGGGGGACCTTAAAAAGGCAGCAAGAGCCGGGGAGGCGAGTTCATTTGGGCCCCCCAGAAAACTAGTCCCGGTTTGAGGGCGACCTAAGAACCCCGCGACACCCGGCTTCACACTTGCACGTTTTTTCGGGCCGACTGGGTGGGTCAGTAGCAGGCGAGCAAGAAGCAAACAGCCGAGAAGAGACCAAGCGCCACCGGATTTCCAAAGCCTCCGGAACGGATGCGATGGCGGGTGGCATCTGGAGCTGAAAGCAGCGAGACCCGGCCTGTTTCTCTCCCTCTCCCCCACTCCCCCAGTTCCTAAACCCTGCAGAGGGACAAAGGCTGGGGGGGTTGGGTGGGTGGGTGGGGAAAGAGCTGGAACAGCCACTAAAGCATCTCCTGCTCTCCTTCTTGCGTTTTGTCCCGTGGGCGCTTTTGCGCTTTAAGCGCAAAAGGAGTTAAAACACGAGGCTTCCCTTTTCTCTGGCCCTTTCTCTTTTTTTTTTTCGGGCAAGCGGGCAATTCCGACAACGCGTCTGCTTCGGAAGCTTAGCAGCAGGGTACCGAATGAACCCCTTTGCTGCGTTCTCACCACGTCACATCACCCATTGATTGTTTCCTAGGATGATTTGCTAGCTTATTTGTACCCTGTGACTATCATTCAGTGTTGTATCTTATGATTCTTGACGAATGTATCTTTTTAGGTACACTCAGAACTTATGCACCGAAGACAAATTCCTTGTGTGTCCAATCACACTTGGCCAATAAAAAATTCTATTCTATTCTATTCTATTCTATTCTATTCTATTCTATTCTATTCTATTCTATTCTATTCCTATCCTATCCTATCCTATCCTATCCTATCCTAATTTCATTCTTCCCTAATTTTTCATTCATTCCATTCCATTCCATTCTATTCTACACTCTACTCACTCTACTCTGATTCTATTCTTTCTATCCTATCCTATCCTAATTTCATTCTTCCCTAATTTATTTCATTCCATCCATTTCCATTCCATTCCATCTTCCTATCCTATTTATTTCATATCCATCCTTCCATTCCATTCTATTCTATTCTATTCTATTCTATTCTATTCTATTCTATTCTATTCTATTCTATCCTATCCTATCCTATCCTATCCTATCCTATCCTAATTTCATTCTTCCCTAATTTCATTTCATTCCATCCATTCCATTCCATTCTATCCTATCCTAATTTCATTTCATTCCATCCATTCCATTCCATTCTATTCTACACTCTACTCTACTCTACTCTGATTCTATTCTATCCTATCCTATCCTATCCTATCCTATCCTATCCTATCCTATCCTATCCTAATTTCATTCTTCCCTAATTTCATTTCATTCCATCCATTCCATTCCATTCCATTCCATTCGGAACTAAAGCAAAGGGGCTAGGTTCTCAGAGCAGACAAGAGTCAACGAAATGCTTCGCTTGGTCGTCTGAATGGCTTTCCTACCTTCTTCACTTGACCTGTGGTTGCTTCCTGCCCGCTCGCCGAACCGATTCAGCGGAGAAAAAAAGCAGGGCCGGCCCTTACAGGCGAGACTTCCCGGGATAGCCTCCCACCAACGCGGCCAAAGGCTGCGTTTCTGACCACACAGGGCCGTTTTGTTGGCCACGGAAAGGGATTCGATTCCGCCTCGATATTTCAGCCCTGCGTAACTCAAGAGCTTTCCGGGCCGGCGAGGATTTGGCTTCTCTCTGTGCCGCCGCCCCCGCTTCCCACTCCACCGACTTTGCTTGCCTCCCCCCTTACCCGGAATATATAAGGGACGGTCCTCTTGTCCGTGGACTTGAGCGCGACAAAAGCGATGCTGTCGTAGAGCGAGGTGTGGCTGAGCACGCAGGGGCCGAAGATGGCGTTCTCCGGGATGTCGCAGGTGGTGTAGACGCTGGTGAAAATGTCCGTCAGGCATTGCTGGACGGCTTTGGCGTCTCCATCCCAGATGCTCCGGGGTACCCCGCTTTCGTCCATGGCTGGAAGAAGAGGACTGTGGTCACGGAACCGGCTCTGAAACGACCCTCGGTGGTCCCAGGGATGGACAGACCCCCCCTCCCAGGCTTTTAGGGACCCTTCCCCAAAAGGAACCTTTTAAATTATTTAATCTGGTTTTAATTATGTTTCTAACTTTTGTATCTATGTATTTTATTTTGTGCCTGTTCACCACCCTGAGTCCTTCGGGAGTAGGGCGGTATATAAATTTAATAAAAACAAACAAACAAACAAACAAACAAAAAACCTGCAGACCACCTGAATTCAGTGCCCTGAATTCAATCGCAGCCTGGTGGCTCAGCAGACTGATAGCATTGTGATTAACATCCAGCTGTCTGCAATTACTGTAAGTTCGAATCTCCCCAGGCTCAAGGTTGACTCAGCCTTCCGTCCTTTCTAAGGTAGGTAAAATGAGGACCCAGATTGTGGGGGCAATAAGCTGACTTTGTATAAATATACCAAAGTATGAAGGCTATTGCTTAACGCATTGTAAGCCGCCCTGAATCTCCGGAGAAGGGCGGCATATAAATCAAATTAAAAAAAATAAAATAAATGAATGAATTAATTAATTAATTAATAAGTTAACTTAAAACCTTCCTGGAAAGGAGACGCCAACTCGGTGGAGAGAGCAAGGTAGAAGGCCTGCGACCTACTTTTTCCTAACTTCCTGCCCCCCACCCCCCGAAAAAAACACGCTTGGACGCGGAGGAGGCTGTTTTCCCTCTCTCCCAAGACCCTCGCAAGGCCCGGCAGCGTTTCTTCTCCTTCGAGCCGTTCCTAGGAGGGTAAACTTTAGCCGGCATTTGGCTCAGCCAAACGACAGCAGCTTAGCCCAAGATCCGAACCGATCGTTCTCAAAAACCTTCGGTGGAAAGGATTGGTTTCTAAATTGGGAAGAGCGGAAACGGTTGAGCCACCCAAATGGGCATTGCCCGTCAGAAGGAGGAGGAGGAGGAGGAGGAGGAGAAGGAGAAGGAGGAGAAGGAGAAGGAGAAGCAAAAGGAGGAGGAGGAGGAGAAGCAGAAGAAGGAGGAGGAGGAGAAGCAGAAGAAGGAGAAGGAGGAGGAGGAGGAGAAGGAGGAGGGGGAGGAGGAGAAGGAGAAGGAGAAGGAGAAGGAGAAGGAGAAGGAGGAGAAGGAGAAGGAGAAGGAGAAGGAGGAGAAGGAGAAAGAGAAGGAGGAGAAGGAGGAGGAGGAGGAGAAGGAGGAGGAGGAGAAGGAGAAGGAGAAGGAGAAGGAGAAGGAGAAGGAGAAGGAGAAGGAGGAGAAGGAGGAGGAGGAGGAGAAGAAGGAGGAGGAGGAGGAGAAGGAGGAGGAGGAGGAGGAGAAGCAGAAGAAGGAGGAGAAAGAGAAGGAGAAGGAGAAGGAGGAGAAGGAGAAGGAGAAGGAGAAATTCAACACCACAGAAAGGAGCGAAGGAGGAAAAGCGAGGCTTTCTGAATAATGTTGCGTCAGGAGCCAAGAAAGGAAGAGACGAAGAGGGCCCAAGGAAACCTCTCCGTGGGGTTTTCCCCCTTCTCTCTGGCTTGGAGGAGGGGGGAATTCGGTGCGGCGGAGCAGAAGGATGGCTTCCTTCAGTCCTATCTGCCCTATTGCCACATCGGAACTTCTGGGGAAAATCTCCTTCGCTCCTCCAGCTCCGGCCGCTTCGTTCCGGGCTTTGCGCTTGGCGAAGTCTCCAGGTCCCCCACTTCTGCTCCCGCCCGGGCCTGTCCGTCGTCCGTCCTATCCTATCCTATCCTATCCTATCCTATCCTATCCTATCCTATCCTATCCTATCCTTCTCTTTCTAACCTACCTACCTACCTCCTTCCTTTCCTAACCTTTTCCCCTCCCTCGGTCTCTTCTTCTTATCTCTCTTCCTAACCTTCCTTCCTTCCTTCCTCCTTCCTTCCTTCCCTTCCTAACCTCCCTCCCTCCTTCCTTTTCTAACCTTTCTCCCTCCCTCCCTCTCTTCTTCTTATCTCTCTTCCTAACCTTCCTTCCTTCCTTCCTTCCTTCCTTCCTTCCTTCCTTCCTTCCTTCCTTCCCCGCCCCATGTGGGGCTGGTGACGGACGGGTCGGGCGCACAAATGGATTTCGAGCGCCTTGTCAATGTCGCTGATTTGATGTCAGCTAACCTTTCACGGAAGCCGACAAGAGGGAACGTATGTCGGCTCATTACCATAATCCAGCAGTTTCCCTGGGAGACTTTAATTAAAAGCAGCGAGCAGAGGTAATTATTTCTTACCACGACACGCTTATTTATGGGAGGCGGGCGCATCCCCGGTTTCCGTCTTTTGCGCGGGATGCAGGCAGGACAAAACGCGCGGCGGACCTTTAGTTCAGTGCGAAATGAACCGGGCGCGGAGAAACCTAATCGAGCCGAGAACTTGGTTTCAAACCCGTCTTTTGAAACCATCAATTTAGTAATAATAACAGCGGCATCAGTAATGATAATGATGATGATGATGATAATGATAATGATAATAATGATAATAATGATGATAATAATAGTGATAATAGTGATGATGATGATGATGATGATGATAATAATAATAATAATAATAATAATAATAATACCCATCAAACATCCACATCTGCCTATCCCAGGTCCTTGGTAAGGACTCGATAGGTAGATAAAAATGCCAAACACAGTCTGAACATCTGGCTGACTGTGTGATTAATAATAATAGTAATAGTAATAATAATAATAATAATAATAATAATAATAATAATAATAATAGGTACTTGGTTGATACCTAGGACGTTGGCAGCAACCCGTATCAACCATTAGCACCAGTCAATGGTATTTGTGATGCATTCTTGAATGTTCAGTTGACTGAGTTTCATGTTTAATGGATAAAATAAATAATAATAATGACATCTGGCCACAACACACCTGACATCACTATTGTGGAAAAAAAAAAAACCAGTCTGGTGCATCGATATTGAAACACCCGGTGATGCAGGAATTGAAGAGAAACAGCTAGGGGAAAAAAATATATCAAAATATCGCGATCTGCAAATTGAAGTTGAGCGACAACGGAGGAAGAAATCAACGGTGGTACCATAGGAATAGGAGCCCTTGGAGCAATACCCAAAGGGCTGCCTAGATACATGGAAATTTCGAAGTTATCAGACCTGAATATCCTGATTTTGCAAAAAACAAACCAAAAAAACAACAACCCCACCTTACTAGGAACTGCCTATGTGTTCAGACGTTACCTTAACAGCTCTTGGGTCCTTACGACTTGAGCTGTTAAATTTTTGCCAGTGAATCGAGTCGACTGTGAATCGAACGGAAGATTAACCATAATAATCTAGCAGCAGCCAAACGGAACAGTAAATAAGCGATTCTCTCCGATTCATCCTTGTAATCATTTTTTCCCCACTTCTTGCATTAATTTCACCTCCCTCCCCCCCCCCACGTTCCTGTCCTCCCTCCCTCCCTGGTAATCTCTCGGCGCAGGGAAATTTAATTAGCCATTGCAAGCGGCCTTTTTTCCCCCAGGACCTCAGCTGGTAAATCTCACCCACCCAAGGCCCACCCAAGTGGGAAGAGGAAGACCCGGGGCTCCTCCGGAGGGGCCGCCAGAAAGTCAGCTTTCTCCCTGCATTGCGATCCCGGGCAAAGAAGGGTGGGGTGGGGTGGAAGCGGCTTCTCTCCACTTTCCAGACAAGCGTGGTTTGCTTCGCGGGGAGCAGCGGCCGAAAAAAGCGAAACTTTTCTTAAACTCCGGATTATTAAACCGTCAAATCTTGAACCTTCCGCCTTTTTTTTTTTCCTCCCTGGCTAAAGCAACGCGTCAGGATCGGGCCAGCTGAGCCTTTATAAACTACTAGCCCAAATCGGCGAGATGGAAAGGACAAATAGCTCCGGCAATTCATCGAAAGAAGGAGAAGGAGAAGGAGAAGGAGAAGGAGAAGGAGAAGGAAAAGGAAAAGGAAAAGGAAAAGGAGAAGGAGAAGGAGAAGGAGAAGGAAAAGGAAAAGGAAAAGGAAAAGGAAAAGGAAAAGGAAAAGGAGGAGGAGGAGGAGGAGGAGAAGGAGAAGGAGAAGGAGAAGGAGAAGGAGAAGGAGAAGGAGAAGGAAAAGGAAAAGGAAAAGGAAAAGGAAAAGGAAAAGGAAGAGGAGGAGGAGGAGAAGGAGAAGGAGAAGGAGGAGGAGGAGGAGAAGGAGAAGGAGGAGGAGGAGGAGGAGGAGGAGGAGAAGGAGAAGGAGAAGGAGAAGGAGAAGGAGAAGGAGAAGGAGAAGGAAAAGGAGAAGGAAAAGGAGAAGGAAAAGGAAAAGGAAAAGGAAAAGGAGGAGGAGGAGGAGGAGAAGGAGAAGGAGAAGGAAAAGGAAAAGGGAAAGAGGAGGAGGAGGAGGAGGAGGAGGAGGAGGAGGAGGAGGAGGAGGAGGAGGAGAGGAGAAGGAGAAGGAGAAGAGAAGGAGAAGGAGAAGGAGAAGGAGGAGAAGAAAAAAAATCCGGCAATTTGTTGAGACGAAAATGGTTCCCCAAATGGTTAAAATCTCCTTATCTTTTATCGAATCCGGCGTGTTAACGGGGAAGATTTGGGGGAAGGAATACTATGCCCCCCCCCCCCAATTTTTTAAAAAATAAATTAAATTAAACCAACCGGCCGCATCCGATGCAAGGCACCTCATAGAGTTACAATAGATAGGAGCTTTCAAAAGTGGAAAGTCGCCGCGACTTTTTGGGGAACTTTTAGCTGGCGGTAACGGAGGAAGAATCTCATTTACCCTCGAAAAGAAACTAAACCAAGCGGTCGGAAATAAATCGACGGACCGACGGAATAGATCGCCGTCTTTCCGCCTGCTTTAAACGAGCGGCGATGCGGCTTGGGAAGGAAGGAATCCCCGCCGCGCCGCTCTCGAGGCCCCGTTCACACGCACAACTCAACACCCACCCTCCGTGGCTCCTGGCTTCCCCTTTAGAAGAAGGACGCTGGAGGTCGCCGCGTAACGGCGAGCGGCAGCAGCCGAGGGGGAAACCAAGGGTGCCGGATAATCCTACCGAAGAATGCCGTTGGTGTCATCCTTCAGCCGAGAAGGCGGTGGGCGCAACTCAAAGAGAGAGAGAGAGAGATTGAAAGGGAAAGGAAGAGAGGAAGAGAGAGAAGTGAAGAAAGAGAAGAGAAGAAGGAAAGAGAAAGAGAGAGAGAAGGAGAGAGAGAGAAGGAAAGAGAAAGAGAGGGAGAAGTGAAGAAAGAGAACAGAGAAGAAGAGAAAGAGAGAGAGAGAGCAGGAAAGAGAAAGAGAGGGAGAAGTGAAGAAAGAGAACAGAGAAGGAAAGAGAAGGAAGGAGAGAGAAGGAAAGAGAAAGAGAGAAGGAAAAAGAAGAGAGAGAGAGAGAAGGAAAGAGAGAGAGAAGGAAAGAGAAAGAGAGAGCAGGAAAGAGAAAGAGAGAAGGAAAGAAAAGAGAGAGAAGGAAAGAGAGAGAAGGAAAGAGAAAGAGAGAGAGAAGTGAAGAAAGAGAAGAGAGAAAAGGAAAGAGAAAGAGAGCAGGAAAGAGAAAGAGAGAGAGCAGGAAAGAGAGGGAGAAGGAAGGAGAGAGAAGGAAAGAGAAAGAGAGAAGGAAAAAGAAGGAAGAGAGAGAAGGAAAGAGAGAGCAGGAAAGAGAAAGAGAGAGAAGGAAAGAGAAAAAGAGAAGGAAAGAGAAAGAGAGAGAGAAGGAGAGAGAGAGAAGGAAAGAGAAAGAGAGAGAGAGAGGAGGGAGAGAGAGAAAGAGAGAGAGAGAGACTGACTCTGTCTCTCTCTTCTGGTCTTCTCTGCCAATTTCTGTTTCTGAAATCTCCCAGGACCTCAAGCCGCCCTCTCACCCCCCCCTCCAAATAGCCTTCCTTCTTCCTCTACACCCGATCAACCATCCGCAATCTTTTTTTTCTGGGTGCTCGACCCCCCCCTTTTTTTTTAAAGCTTAAAAAGAAGACGGGCAGAAGAGAAAAAGGAAAAAAGAAGAGGAAAATTCAAACCAACAATTAAACTGGCTATTCAAAGTCATTCATTCCTGGGTTTTATCCATTTTTAAACCCCCCCCCTTTTTTTTTCCCCTCCGGCTTTTGTACGGATCTGTCTGGCCAGGAATTTTTCTCTCTGATACGCCAGCCGTTTTTCTTTCTTTCTCTTTTCTTTCTTTCTTTCTTTCTTTCTTTCTTTCTTTTTTCTTTCTTTCTTTCTTTCTCTTTCCCTTCCTTCCTTCTTTCTTTCTTTCCTTCTTTCCTTCCTTCCTTCCTGTTGGGGTGCCCAGAATATAGGGCGAAAAGGAGCGGTTGAGGGGCGGTGGGAACCGAGAGGGGAAAGGAGAAACAATCAGAACGGTTATTTTGCTCTAGTGCGGCTGCAAACCGTCTTTACTTACCGGGATTACGATCGGAATTATAATCCTAAAGGCAAGGGACGGCGGGGGAAATATATATATGTATATAGATATAGATATATATAAATATTTAGAGAAAATATCAATACGTCTCAATCTCCAGCAGAAAGTAGTCAAAAAAAAAAAAAAAAGAAGAAGAGAGAGGAGAGGGAGGCGTAGAAGTCCTCGATTTCTTTCTTTCTTTCTTTCTTTCTTTCTTTCTTTCTTTCTTTCTTTCTTTTCTTTCTTCTTTCTTTCTTTTCTTTCTTTCTTTTTTCTTTCTTTCTTTCTTGGGAGGGGGAGAGAGAGAAAAGCTCTCGGGCCTTCAGAGCTCCTCCATGGCCGCGGGGAAAGAGGCGGTGGGAGCGCGGCTCGGCTCGGCTCGGCTCGGCTCGGCTGGGCGCACGGGAGCTGGCAGGCGGGGAGGGAACGGGAAGGGGGGGGAGGCCGCGGGACGTGGGCAGATGGGCCCGTTGCACTGCCTGCCGGCCGGCCGGGCTCCCCAGTTTTGTCGCCGGCCCCGAATTCGCCCAATGACGCGTGACAGAGCCGCCGCCTCCCCTTTAACGCTTTCCTGCCCGCGGCTCCGTCCGCCCGCCTGCCTGCCTCTCTCGCCCACGGTGGCGCTCAGGCGGCTGCTGGAGGCTGGGGAGGGGGTTGCGCCCCTCTTGGACAAGGTCTCCCAGCTTTTGCCCCCCCTTCCTTCCTTCTTCCCCAAAGAGTCCCACTCCTTCCCACAACTGCCCTGGGGCACACGGGGGAGAAGCCCCTTGCGCAAAGAGGTGGGGTTTTTTTGGGGGGTGGGTGGTGGGGGGTTGCCCGAACTTGGGGAGGGGGGAGAGGGTAGGAAATTGACAGAGTAGGATGTCTCCCAAGGATGACCACGGAGAGAGGGAGGGGTGGTCTGCGGCGGGGGGGTCCGGGGGCTCAAGAGGAGAGGGCGACGCTTCGCTTCTTCTTCTTCTTCTTCTTCTTCTTCTTCTTCTTCTTCTTCTTCTTCTTCTCTTCTTCTTCTTCTTCTTCTCTTCTTCTCTTCTTCTTCTTCTTCTTCTTCTTCCCTCCTCCTCCTCCTCCTCCTCCTCCTCCTCCTCCTCCTCCTCATTATTATTATTATTATTATTATTATTATTATTATTATTATTATTATTATTATTATTATTATTAATAATATGCCATCCACTCTCCGAGGACTCTGGGTGGCTTACATCAAAAACAGTATACTAAATAGCATATTGCCCTCAACAATCTGGTTCCTCATTTTACCCACCACTTCTTCCTCTTCCTCTTCTCCTTCCTCCTCCTCCTCCTCCTCCTCCTCCTCCTCCTCCTCCTTCTTCTTCTCCTTCTCCTTCTCCCTCCTCCTCCTCCTCCTCCTTTTTCTCCTTCTCCTTCTCCTTCTCCTTCTCCTTCTCCTCCTCCTTCTCCTTCTCCTTCTTCTTCTTCTTCCTCCTCCTCCTCCTTTATCTCCTTCTCCTCCTCCTTCTCCTTCTCCTTCTCTTTCTGGTTCTCTTCCTCTCCTCCTCCTCCTCCCGCCAAAGTTCAGCTGGACCTTTTGCGACAGACGTTCAGTCATTAGATTTGGAGTTATTGGGCGTGGGGTACCCCTCCTTTCCAAAACTTCAGCGGAGCTTCCGCAGGAAAATCTCCCCAGCGGTTTTTTGTTTTTTTTTCTCCCCTCCGTCGCGTGGGCAGCCTGCTCCTAGCTTCCAAGGAGTTCCGAGGGCGACTGCAGTGTTACATTTCCACCGGAGGCGAAATCTAAGCCGATTTCATCCAGTCCGCACACACTTGACTTAGCAGAACTGGAGCGTTTAAGTCGTATAAAATCAGCCCATCCCCGTGGAGCAATTCCTGGTCCCAACGTTAGCCTGAGAAGTCGAAAACAACATCCGATAAACCTTCATTGGCAAACTTCCTGGATTGGCCTAGGAAATCGTCGAGGATCCAGTTCGGTTCTGAGTGGGGGGTGGGGGGGGAGTGGGTCTCGGGTCTTTCTCTTTGCAGGAAAACGTTTTCTGCTTCCTGCGTCTCCTGTTAAATATCGATTAGGGGCCTGGAAACTAAAACGTAGGAAACACGGTTGCAGGAACTAGGTATGGCTGGTCTAGTGAAGAGAAGGACCAGGGGAGACAGGAGAGCAGTCTTTGAGGGGCTGCCACAGAGAAGAAGGGGTCAAGCTATTTTCCAAAGCGGAAGGAAGGAAGGAAGAAGGAAGGAAGGAAGGAAGGAAGGAAGGAAGGAAGGAAGGAAGGAAAGGGAAGGAAAGACAAAGGAAGGAAGGTGAAAGGGAAAGAAAGAAAGAGAAAGAAAAAGTGGGAAGGAAAGACAAGAAGGAAGGAAGGTAGAAGGAAGAGAAAGAAAGAAAGAAAGAAAGAAAGAAAGAAAGAAAGAAAGAAAGACATCTGAGTGAACCATGGATGGACAGAGGACATAGCTAGTCTAGTGAAGAGAAGGACCAGGGGAGACAGTCTTTGAGGGGATGCCACAGAGAAGAAGGGGTCAAGCTATTTTCCAAAACGGAAGGAAGGAAGGAAGGAAGGAAGGAAGGAAGGAAGGAAGGAAGGAAGGAAAGAAAGGGAAGGAAAGACAAAGGAAGGAAGGTGAAAGGGAAAGAAAGAAAGAGAAAGAAAAAGAGGGAAGGAAAGACAAGAAGGAAGGAAGGTAGAAGAAAAGAAAGAAAGAAAGAAAGAAAAAAAAGAAAGAAAGAAAGAAAAAGAAAGAAAAGAAAGAAAGAAAGACATCTGAGTGAACCATGGATGGACAGAAGACATGGCTAGTCTAGTGAAGAGAAGGACCAGGGGAAACAGGATAGCATCTTCCAGTATTTGATTGGCTGCCACAGAGAAGAGTGGAGGGTCAAGCTATTTTCCAAAGCACCTGAAGGCCACAAGAAATAATGGATGGAAACTGATCAAGGAGAGATTCAACCTGGAAATAAGGAAAATTTTCTGACAGTGAGAACAATCAACCAGTGGAACAGAAGTTGCCTTCGGAAGTTGTGGGAGCTTCATTACTGGAGGCTTTCAAGAAGAGCCTGGACTGTCCTCAGTCAGAAATGGTGAGGGTCTCCTCCTGCTTGAGCAGCAGGCTGGACTAGATGACCTACAAGCCCCCTTCCAACTCTGTCATTCTGTATTTCAGTATATTACTGCAGCCATCCCTAATACCCATAGCCAAGCCAGAGAAGCGATTGAGGATCGCTGGGGGAAGAGAAGCGATTTGTCGCAGGGCGCGCTTAGGTCTTTGCGCTCCAGAAGAGAAGCTACAATTCCTAGCAGCCAAAGACTCCTCCACCCCGGTTTAGGAAACACCCCTCCCTCCCCTCTGGACCCCCAGCCTTTAACCACCCTAGTTTAGGCTGAACCGGTGAATTCTGGCAGCTCTGGAGCTCTTGGAACAGGGGTCACTCACAGCCGAGGCTGCCTCTCACTCCCCCCACCTCCCACCACCCCCCCCCCCCCGGACGGGGACGCTTCTCGGGTTGCACATCCTTCCTAGCCAGGAGGAGGGGAAAAAATGTCTAGCGGGGCTCCGGACACGAGATTCCTGGCTCAGATGAACAGAGTTGGAAGGGACCTTGTAGGTCATCTAGTCCAACCCCTCCCAAGCAGGAGACCCTGCACCAGTGATTTATTGATTTATTTATTACTTTGATTTATATGCCACCCTTTCTCCGGAGACTCAGGGCGGCTTACAAAGCGTTAAGCAACAGCCTTCATACTTTTGTATATACCTGCTTAGTAGGGCTTTCAGCCTCCCCCTAAACGGTGTTCTATTTTATACAAAGTCAGCTTATTGCCCCCACAAACCGGGTCCTCATTTTACCTACCTCGGAAGGATGGAAGGCTGAGTCAACCTTGAGCCTGGTGAGAATTGAACTTGCAGTAATTGCAGGCAGCTGGCAGCTAAATACTACTTTAACAGTAGTTTAGTCCACTGCGCCACCAGGTGATGGCTAACCTTTTCTGGACCGAGTGCCTGAACCCCCAAAATGCAATGCAGTTGTGTCCCTTGCGCATGCGCCCCACTCCCTGAGCATATGTGTGTGCCCCCCCCCTGTGCCCCCCCCCCCCCCCCACCCCGTATGCCCCCCCCAATGCATGCCCTGCCCCCCACATGTGCATGCAGCCTCCTGCATGTGCACCACCCTGCACATGTGCATGCCCCCCGCACATGCCCCCCATGCATGCACATGTGGCCCCCACATGCTCCCTGCCCTGTATATGTGCATTACCTTGCATGTGCCACATGCCCTGCCCCTTCATGCGCATGCAGCCCCCGGCATGTACACCATCCCGCACATGCACATGCACGTGTGGCCCCCACATGCTCCCTGCCCGGCATACATGTGTTGCCCTGCATGTGCCCCCCGCACATGCCCCCCCACATGCATGCACGCCCCCCGCATGCCCCCCATCCCCCATGCATACGCAGCAGAGACCCAATGGCCAACTGGCTGGCGGAAGGCATGCAGACATGCATGGCAGAGCTGAACTGGAGCGATGGCTCGCGTGCCCACAGAGAGGGTGCTGCATGCCACCTGTGTCACGCGTGCCATAGATTTGCCATCACGGCCCTACACCATTTCTGACCGATGGCAGTCCAGTCCCTTCCTTCCTTCCCTCCCTCTGTCCCTCCCTCCCTCCTTCCCTCCCTTTCCTCCCTTCATCCCTCCCTCCCTCCCTTCCTTCCCTCCCTCTCTCCCTCCCTCCCTCCCTTCCTTCCCAACTGATTTCCACTGACTATCATTTGTGTGCTATTTTTGGTTGCCTCAAATGACCTCTGGTCAGAAAGGCAAGACAGACAAGGAAGAATTGTTCTCCAGTAGTCTTCCTCCTCCTCCTCCTCCTCCTCCTCTTCCTCCCCCCTCCCCTCTCCTCCTCTTCTTCTTCCTCCTCCTTCCCTCCCTTCATTTTTCAAGGAGCAATGCAGCTCAGATGGGAGAAATTAGCACCTTTGACTGAGGTAAAAGGCCCTGCCTTGCATTCAGTCAAAAGACTAAAGTTTTTTGGGGGGGCGGGGGGAGGGGCTGCTGGAGGAGCCCCTCCCGATCCTTTGAGACAGAGCTAGCCTTTTGGGGGAAGACAAGTTCCCCACCTTCCTTTGCTTCTGGGCTCTTGGCAGCTCCTGGGAGGTTGGAGAAGAGACAGTGTGACAGAACTAACACAGAAAGGCCTTCTTAAGAGGCCAGCTCAGTTGCTGGCGAGTTGACTTCATGAGCTGCCTTAATCAATGTGGCTTTGT